CCTTTGTTCGGTCTTTCACTTCTTTCTCCACATCCTAGAGAGACAACACATCAACAGTCTAAGACAAAATTGCAGTTTAAAATTTATTATGTTTCCAATACAACTCTATCACAATTAGAAATGAGTACAAAACCATATAACTTCCATTTTAGCAATAAAAAAGAACAAAATGTAGCTGCAGACGAATAAAATCAAGATGTGCTGAAGTAGGATATTTATAGCAACAACAGAAGTCAAAGCAAAATTCTAGAATAAACCATTTGAACCCTTCATATGTCTCTCACACACAAATACAAAGAGAATCACCAGAGGCAGAAGCTTGGACTGGATTTTCCTTTCCAAAAAAAAAAAAAAAGAGGATTCCACTTGGTTCATAATCTAAACCAACTCTCAAGTCAATACAATCAATTGAAGCAAAGATGAGCAATATGAAAGCATTAAGAAAATAATGACCATATGCAAAGACAGAGATAATCTATACAACCAAGGTTTCTAAAAATTTTATTATACCTCCTCATCACACCAAGGAGCCAAGATCATTTTCTTTTCTCCAAGAGCCTTTACAAATTCATCCCAAGTTCTTGTAATTTGAATGCAGGCATCTCGTTTTTGTTTTGCAACTTCAAACAGATTTTCTTGAATCTCATCCAGAACACCTCTTACTTCTTCTACTAAACAGACCCTAGAAATATCAATTTTTGATCCATTGTCACGGCGAACAACACGCACCTGTCAATAGGATCAGGAGTAAAGGATTTTTCCAGTTTTGTCCATAAGAAAATAACAAAATGAAAGATGGTAAAAGCAACACTGGAAAAGTTGAGAAGGTGCAGTAGAATATTTACCTGGTTGTTTGCCAAATCTCTTGGCCCGATTTCAATCCTTATGGGAACACCTTTCATTTCCCAGTCAGAATACTTCCAACCAGGAGAGTAGTTATCCCTAAGATCAGCCTTAGCACGAATACCTGCTTCTGACAGTGCATTCACAGTTTCAACACAGGCATCAAAAATACCTTGGGTATCAGCGTCTTTGTAAGGGACAGGAACTACAACAACTTGCAACGCTGCTACTTTTGGAGGTAGCACCAAACCTTTGTCATCACCATGAACCATCACCACAACCCCAATCTGCATAATGAAAGAACAAAAAATAAAGATTACAAGATTAAAAAAGGAAAAAAGAAAAAAGCCTCTGACATAATAACTAAAAAACAGTTGAACTAAACAGATCATAAGTGTAAAGTTCTACCGTTCGAGTACTATATGCCCACGAGTTCTGCCAAACCATACACTTCTCTCCCTTCTCATTTTCAAAGTTTATCTCAAACATTTTTGCAAAATTTTGGCCCAAACAATGAGAGGTTGCACCTTGAATGCCACGGCCAGTGTTTGGGATAAATGCCTGTCATACACACATAAGTTGAAAGTTACTAGGATTCAATTCAAACATATTGATCAAAGCAGATGGTTTAACTTAATCTAACATGATGACAACAAAAAAAGAGAATACATCCTTTTAAGTTAATTACTACCTCAACGCTTGTTGTGTAAAGTCCACCAGCAAACTTCTCCATCTCAGTCTTCTTTCCTTTTATAACAGGGATAGCCAAGAATTCTTCATATATCTGCCGGTAGAGTTCCAATATTTGAAGAACCTGAGGTACAAGAATCACTTAAGATATATGAGAATGAGATTCTAGTGATATATTAGTTACTAAAACTATGCACCATACCTCTATATCTGCCTCTTCTTTTGTTGCAAAGGCAGTATGTCCTTCCTGCCATAGAAACTCACGACTCCTACAGCCATGACATATAAGTTAGAAAACCATAATCTACTATTTGAAAACAATTTTCCTTGGGGGAGGAGGTAAGTTTAGCATATTGAACCAATATTACAAAAACTTTAAAATAAAGTAATATCTGAACATGTAAATCGTGAACAAATGATAGATTAATATAGAAAAGGTTCCATACCATAAACCATCAGTATGGTGAAAGAGGAGAGGAAGACAGGGGAACAATCTCTCTGAAATTATCAGATCTGAAAATGTTTCAAACAACCTACCTGATAAATGGAGTAGGATTGCTGAATTCCCATCTGACAACATTGCACCATTGGTTAAGCTTCAAAGGCAAGTCACGGTGTCCCCTTATCCACTTAGAATAGTAGGGATACATAACTGTCTCACTAGTTGGGCGGATTGCAATAGGCACTTCCAAATCTGACTTACCTGATTTAGTCACCCAAGCAACCTAGATAAAACCAAGATACATGAGTCATTGACAAGTCTTTCTTACCATGAATGACATTTTTAAAAAAATTAAATTAAATTAAAACAGAAAGAGCACAAGACATAGCAGCCAGCATCCCATATTAAAAGAATTTAAGTCACAGGTCCCCTTTGATTATTGACAATATAATTGTACAAATAGAAAGAACTTGATTTCAATTCCCAATTTGGCTTGGCATATGAAACCTAAAATCAGAAGTTCCAGAGGAAGAAGCATACACTGAAATATGATTTTCTAATCTATGCTTTTAAATTTTTTCCAAAAGATTTTGATTCATAATGTATAGAGAAAAAATGTGTTCAATGACTTAACATAAATTAACAAGAGATAATCTCATATCAAAATTAGGTCGCAGAAAGAAGAGCACTCTACTGTGCTTTGAGAAGTTAATTCTCACCTCAGGAGCAAAACCCTCAACGTGATCCTTCTCCTTTTGTAAAACACCTGGAGATACAAAAAGAGGGAAGTAACAGTTCTTTACTTCCATTTTCTTAATTTCTGCATCAAAAAATGCCTGCATACCAGCAACATTGTAACTCAACTATTAATAAGAAACAGACAGAATGCCAAAA